AAAACATGAATTAAAGAGATGAATAAAAATTAGCCAAGTAATATTACTCCACAATCATTCAGAAGTCACAGAGACTATGCTCAAAGTATCTTTTCTTGTAAAAAATTGTTTTAAAGCCGGGTGTGGTGATGCACACCTGTAATCCCAGCACTCCAGAGGCTGAGGCAGGAGGATCGCTGTGAGTTCGAGACCAGCCTGGTCTACACGGCGAGTTCCAGAGCAGTCTGAATTACATAGTGAGACCCTGTCTCACAAAACAAAAACAAAACAAAACAAAACAAAACAAAATGTTTTAAAAAGTGCCTTGGCTAAGTCTATTTATTCAACAGCCAGGGAGTAAATACTACTGCTCGGTACTGAATAAACTATAATCTCTTCCTTTCAAGCACTTTAGATTTAGTGGGGGAAGGATAGGTAAACCAATAGGCCCAAGAGAAAAGACTTAGTGGATCAAATGAATTGCGAACAGAGTTGTAGCAAAAATGATGGACCAATGATTTATCCGTGGAAGAAGTTGGGGGAGGGCGTTCGCTCTTTTTAGAAGGTGGTATTTTAGAGTTAAATTGTGTAAAAAGAATAGAAGTTTGCCAGGCGTGGTGGTGCACGCCTGTAATCCCAGCACTTGGGAGACTGAGGCAGGAGGATCGCTTTGAGTTCGAGACCAGCCTGAGCCACATAGTGAGTTCCAGGTCAGTCTCAACTACACAGTGAGACCATGTCTCAAAAAAAAAAAAAAAAAAAAAAAAAAAAAAGAATAGAAGTTTGTCATGTGAAAAAGAGAACAGCATTCAAACTTAAACACGAGATCAGAGTTAAGCGCTGAGCATGTCTGGGAATGCTGAACAGTTTTTTGTTGCTAGAACACCACGTCATGGGCAGATGAGGTCAGAAAGATTAGGTGCCCTGCATACCAAGCTAAGAGAAATACTTCACCTACAGACAGGGGGAACTAAGAAAAGTATCCACAGCTTTAAAAAAATAAAATAAAATAAGGAGTTCGGCCAGTTGTGGAGAAAATGGACAGTTCAGATACTGGAAGCAGGGAAATCAGTGAAGGCAATGTGGAGAGTAAAAAAATAAAAAATAAAAAAAATTTGCCGAGAGCCTCCCATAAACAAATACCATGCTAAGCACTCTAGGATCATTCTAATTTCATTTAACTAGCACAAAACCCGTACATACGACATCATCGTTCTATAAAACCTGCGAGAGAAACGGAGGTCAAGCGCGGGTAGGTGCCGTGACCAAAGTCACAGCTAACGGAGCCCACTCTTAACCACTAAGAGCTGCGTGACTCCAAATTCAGCGCTTATTACAATAAACGTCTCTGACGCACATAAATTAGGCCTGGCACATAAATACCAGAAATAGTGGGGTCGAGGCGCAAAACTCAATGCATTTCCGTGGCAGTATTTGGGGAAGAACTGGCAAGCGCAACATTCCAAAGTCCCCGCCATTCGGCTTCGCCGTGAGGCGCCCCCGGCCGGCGCCGGTTTACACACCTGGATGAGCCCGCTGAGGACACCGAAGAGCCAGTGCTTGCTGTAGACCGTGCTCCCGATGCAGTCTCCCCCGGCCACCTCCGCATCTTCATCCTCCCGACTCGGGGGCGGCGGCGACGGGTTACGGTCCATGACCCGGCGCTGCTAATGCTCGGGAGCAAAGCCGGAAGCCGCGGAGGAAGCGAGAGGCCTCCTCGCGCCGCAGGGCTCGGCGCGCGCGGTGCTGCTACGGCCACAGCGCCCCCTGCTTCCCGGAGTCCAAAAGCCCGCTGCGAGTCGGCCCAGATGGGATTTCCCGCCAAAAGGATGTCCTAATCATATTCGTAATTGTTATTTATCATCCTCCCTGATCAGAAATTCGGTTTCTTTAGAAGCCCTTACCCCGATGTGAGAAGGCCGAGAACAGGCCTGTGTCTCTGGTACACATGAAAATCTTGAAACCACGGTACCTATTCCAATTGCTTCCTGAACCTTAGAACCTTCAAAGTGTTTTCCCCATGGCCACTCGGCCCACCCAGACAGGGTCTCACCAGATTACCCAGGCTGCCCTCTAACCTGTGATCCTAGTGCCTCACTCTCCCAAGCAGCTGGGGTTATAGGCGTGCGCTACTTCACACGGCCTTTGCCATTCTTACAGATATCTGTAGATTCTGGTTTTCTCCCCGTGGTACACGAACCCTAAGAAAAATAAAAGTCACACCTGAAAGAAGATCATACTTGCAAAGCACTACTGCTAGTTTATGAGTAAATAAGTTGCCTTCTGTCGTGAGGGGTGAGCATTCTGTCTCTAAATTTATCTTTCCTCAAATGACCACTCTGCACGAAGCCTGAACTGGATAAGCAGCTTGCTCCTATGGTGCGGGCGGCCAAGGAAGCCATCTAATATCACCTTTTAATAGGAGCTGGGTCTGAAATAGCTGCAAACGGCAGCCTCTCAAGCGATACACACATCCGGCAGTTCATTTGGGCTCCCCTGGGAAACCTTGGAGATAGCCTTTTCCGGAGGATGCTCCTGTCTCTGACACCGTGATGTTCCCATTCTAGGCTCCAGACAGGTATGCAGGGTACTTTCGGAAAGCTCCAGGGTGCAGTGGCTGGCGTTTGCACTAGCCACGTCATCGCTATGAAACAAGGAGCATGTAATTGAGGCCCTAAACTGGGCCAAGCTCAGGTCCACTTGCCACCAGAAGTGCACATTGAAAAGAACAGGCCTTTACCAAATTAGATGCAGATGAACTTGAGGACAAAGTGGCTGAGAAAATGGTCATCCAGGATGAATTTAGGGTCAAATAAATTCCCTGGCCAAGTGTCAAGCCCTGCTCTCATGAAGGCTTGCACTGTGATGTACCTCCTTAATTACACCCACCAATAAACCCTACTTATTGAGCAAAAAAAACCTCACAAACAAAAGGTTACCTCTGGCTGCAGTAAAATCAAAGACATTGAGGTGATGTCCTTGGCAGCAGCTTCAAAAACACAGATTAAAGCTTGCCACCAGGCTCTGAAAATAACCATCGCACAGAGGGTGTCAGTAGTTGACAACACAATTCAGAATCTTTTGAAGAAGACATGGAAACAATGCCCAGACAGCTTGAAGAAAAGACTACTGCCCAGCAATAGAAGATGCATCAGCAGACCTCTGCCAGCTGTCTGCTCCTTCAGGGCCAGCCTTGGCTGCAGACAGGCTCTGTCCTTCCCAGGACAGCCCTCGCCTGGTCACTGAGCAATGGGTTGAGGAGAGTGGGGTGTGCTACAAAGGTCTAGAAGATTCCACCTAACTCGGGACACTCCCACCAAGGCTTCTGGCCAGCTGGCTGTGGCCTTGTGAAGCCTGCACAGTGCTTCTACTTCGCTCTCCATTCTTCTTTCTTTGCTTTCCTTGATTAGTGCTTTATTGATCCTTAATGAATATCTACAATCCCAAAATCTATGAGGCAACTATGTCCAGAGAGCACAACTAGGACAGTTGGTACATCTCATTCCCACTGTGAGGGTTACCATTGATGAACTTGAATCACCCAGGTGACTGTGGTTCACTTTTTTTTATACTGTGGATGAATCTCATGACCTTGTGCCTGTGAGGCCGGCATGATGCTACTGAGCTAAATCCTCAGCCTGAGTGAGGTTCACTTTTAAGAGTATGTAACTGAGTTGAAAACTATTTTGGCAACCCAGAAAACACTGAATCCACGAACATGGATTTTCCTGTAGTCAACTTGAGCAGTTATGTTTGGGTCCACCTATCTCTTGTGAGGATCTGATGGGTAAGAGAAGAAAGCACTTAGAGCAGGGAATGGCCCATGGTCACCTCTTCCTGAATGGAAATGGACATTGTTACTGTCTCCACCGATCAGTGTTAGAGAAGTGTAATGCCAACCACCAGAAGAAGGACATACTGACTACCGACTCTGACGGGTGGATAGGAATCTCCAGGAGGCATGGACTGAGTGCTGGTGAGATGGTCACTGTTACGGATCTGCGGCACTAGAAGGTGACATTCTATCTTGGTCTGAGTCCAG